GGGCATGTCCCACCGGGAGGAGGCCCTGGGGGAGACCCAGGACAGGCTGGAGAGATTATATCTCTCGGCTGGCCTGGGAACGCCTTGGTATCCCGCGGACAAGCTGGAGGAGGTGGCTGGGGAGAGGGAGGTCTGGGCTTCTCTGCTTGGGCTGCTGCCCCCACGACCCGGCCCCGGATAAGCGGAAGGAAATGGATGGATAGATGGAGATAATTCAGGTTACTGAAGCAACCAGCTTATTTTTGTAGTTCTGGTTGATTTCTACGTTTCTTATGTATTTTAAAAAGTTTTCTCAACAAAAAAGTTTGATTTATTTATATAAAATAATTTTAAGATGCACTTTAAGTGGTCTAACCATGAGAAATTATATAAAAATACTCGAAGTAGTTTTAGTCTAAGGCAGAGGTGGAGGATTCTTCTGCTAAGCCAGCATGGTTTAGTCTAAATTTAACATCAACACTTTAATTTGTCTGATATAATAATTAAATGAAGCAACCAGCTTATTTATGTGGAAAAATATCTTAAATTACTGTGATTAAAGTTTACCAAACACAGTGTTAACTACAGGGAGGCAAAAAGAAAACGTCACCTAGCTTATATTTAGACTTAAAACAGACTGCACAGTCTACTGCTTGCACTATGAGCAACATCATGTATTTTATCCCAGAGTAAATCATTATTACAGCTATTTTAGCTGATTTAAGGCTCCTTTGACAACGTATTTGAAGCTCTCATACAAGAGAGTTAAGAAAAAACTGTAACAAATAAATAAATAAGTCAATAAAACAATAATATACTTATAATAAATGTCTGTCTATAATATATGTTTTTAGATTGTTGGAGAAATCCAGAGAACATGCAAACATCCACACCGAAAGGAATCAGCCAGCAGATTCAAACCCAGATCCCCTTTGGAGTGAGGTGATAGTGCTAACCGCTGCACCAATGTGCCACCACTTCTGAATGTGTATGTGTGTAAACACACATTAACAGTGATGAAGTGGTAAGTCATGACAGTAAATCAGCAACCACAAATAGCAGGATTTTAAAGTAGTGAAGCAGGTAAACGTCACTCAGTCTTTGTTAATCTAATTTAAACCTGCGTCTTTCCATCTGTAACATACTGAAATGGTTATTCTGCAAAAGATTTAGCATATCACCTGGTATTTCCTAAGAAATTATGTGTTGCCCTCGTCATACTCAGCTCAGTTCTGGACAGGTTTGGGGTGGCCTACTTTGCTAAGACCAAGTCTACTGTTGCCATTGTTTATAAATCCGGAAAATTACATCATTACTTGGCACAACTTCCCCAACCACATCTTTACTGGCCAGCAGAGGTCTCTAGTGTTCTGCAGAAATATAGACATCGACTACAAACCTGCTGTGGATGTAAATCATTGACTTGCTGCCTGCATGCTGTTGATTCAGGTAACAATTAGGTTGAAATACAACCTATTTTCACTGTTTATGCTTTGATAAGTTGTTTCCACATCTGCCCATCGCTTTTCCATCTTGACATTTGGAAGTAATAACATTTTGATTATTCCATAAAGAAGTTATTATGACAGCATTGCTGCTGTCAGTGCCTTTGTATGTTAGCTTACAAGAATTTAGCTAAGAAGCAAATCATAGAGTTCTGAAAGGAAATTAGAGTCACAAAACATGGGCAGTAATAAAACCTGAAGCTCATAACAGTGCAGGTTGTTTGTGTGTGTAGTTTGCATGCAGTATGTGTGTGTGTTTTCCTGTTGCCCATGGAAGAGGAAATTAAAGTGGTGAGCAATGACAAGGCAGAAGACAAGTAAGGTGTCCTCTGCATTGATTTCAGTGAAACAAGCTTCAGGGGAACCATTGTCCTCACTCCATCACATTTAGACTTTTGACACAGTCATCGTTTTGGCTTAGAAGCAAAAATCTTCTCATACTGAGTTTCCAGCCTGAAGCCCCTCTGACAAACACAAGTGTCAAGTTAGACCACTAATTGGGGTCCTTCTGCTTCTGTTCAAATGAGGGATAATTGAGCCCACAGAGAGCCTTAGTGACAGTTTTGCTTAAGGTCTGCCGCTGCTGTCTAGTATCTTTGTCCGCCTTTTATGCTTTCGGTCCTCCAGGGTGATCTAATAATGAAAAAATATGTATGTCTTCAAACTGTAGGGTTCATTAGTGTAATGGCTTTAACTCTGACATTTAACTCTGGCAAACGATTGATGACTAAAATAGATTATAATGAAATTTGATAAGCAAAAAGTCTTTGAAGTGTCTTTTTTTTTATTACCTTTCTATTTTGAATAATTTTTCATGGAAACTAGGGATTTTTATATATGATGTGCAAATAGTTTAACTTCATGATGGAGAAAATGAATTCACAGCTGCAGCTTGCGTTTTCAGTACTGACTAAAGGACTAAAGTGGTCCTAAGGTGCTGGCATTTTTTGATATGTGAAATCTTGCACTGTTGCCAGCCAGATACTTTCCAGATGGTATTACATGGTGGATCAAAAATCTTTCAGGTCCTGTCCATGTGAAATATTTGTGAATCCCTTGAGCCAAAGGGCCCAACTTTCACTCTGTAGGAAAACTCCATTATTGATTTGTGTGGCAATTTTCAGTTTCACTACAGCCTGGAGAGTTGTTTGTCACTGGCCAGTCAGTAAACCAGTCACTTCCGTTCACAAAAATATGCTAAAGAACAGAACAATCATATGGAATTTCTCTGCCAACTGACTGGGGAATACACATTTTTCCCTAGTGACAGGTGGTTGCCAGGGGATCACTGAACAGTTTGTAAGTCAATTTTGCAATTATTATAATACTATTTTTTTCCTTGCAATTGTTGGTTGCCAGATGGTTGGGGAGCAGTCTTTAGGTGCTTTATTCACTTGACTCTACATTTCACCATTTGGTCACACGTCCAAAATGGCGGATTTGTTAATGTCACATGGTTAGTGGTCATGTGTCTGCAAACCTGTTTGTTTTCTTGGGGGGTTTTTAACCAGTGGAGTTGCCCCCTGCTGGCAGTTAGAAATAATGCTGGTTTGTGGCATTTACTTATGCACCTTTGTAACTGAAGAGACTTCCTTAAACCTGCAGTAGATTCAGTTTTCATAGACAAAAGCTATATCTATCTTTTATATGCCCTCTACTGCATTAACAGCAATGAATTAACGAGCTTTAAATTAGTTGCGATAAGGTTATCAGAAGGTTATTTCATCAA